TAATTACTTACTCTAAAATAGTTTGAAATATTTCCGGTAAAACATTTGGTAATTTTATGTGAGCTAATACATTATCGTTGTTCTTTTTATTGGAAGTTAAAATTCGTCGCAAATACGGAGAACGGTAACACAAAATATTCATGTGAGCACGAAATATTTTTACGTTAGGATCTTCACCAACTTCAATTGTAATATCATAATATTCATCATCTTTTAATAATTCAATATAATTCTGACTTAATAATTTAGAAAAAAGTTCGGTAGACATAATTTCTTTTTTTTTTTAAAAAAAAAAGAACTGAAAATTTTTTTTTTAAAAAAATTTGGTTAAACAATAATTATATTGATGTACATTATTATATAATCTGCGGTTATACAAGTATAAATTTCGTTTCACAATGCGGGTACGTTATAACGTTATCATAGCACATTGTGGCGGATTTATGAAATTTGGCAAAGCCCCTGCTGCGCCCTCGGGAATTAAAAATTGACTTACAGAAACATGTGATATCGATTAAGCTTTTTCCCTAAAAAATGTCAAAGAATGACGCGCCTTTAACATTGGGAAAATGGGTTAGATAGTAAGAAAATTGGTTAGACGCAAGATTTGGGTACAAAAAATTTTTTGGGCACATTTTTGACTGTTCACTAATAAATTTGGGGGCTTAAATAAAAATTTTGTGACTAAATTCTATTTAACTTGGATAAATTTTGGGGTATTTCATAAGTCCGCCGTGATGATAAATACGACAATGATTTGAAAACAATATATTTGAACAGAATTTATAGCGTATACAGTAATTCTTATAATTCAGATCTGCGATTCTAACCTAATTCCTCTTCTAAGACCTAGCCCTACACTTTGATACCCACTTAAAGTTTCTTTTTAGTTAGCAAATAGTACGATTTTATCCTATGCTACATTATTGTAAACCAACACTTTTTTTCGATTTCGCCTGCTAATAATTTCATTAAGACGAAAATCCCATTATCCCAAGAGTCTTCAAATCTTTTAGTTCATGGTGTACAATTTAATATTTCTAACTCATGGTTATAACATCTGAGTAATAGATTTCAACTTGGATCAGCTATTCTGATTTCACAATTTCATTCTTTTTATTGATTAATTCTCAAGTAATTCAACAAAGGTTTATTACAGATTCCGAGCAATTCGAATGACTTTGCGAACGTAAAAATCTACTTGAATTAATTTAATTTCTGAAAATTAATTAATACGAAGAAACGAATTGTTCATTTGTCATTTTAGACTTAAAAAAAATTGATTTGTATTTATTTTTTTTATTAAGAGAGAAATTTACTTTACTACATACTAATTAAAATTTCATGTTAAAACTTTTTATAAAGAAAGGATTTATAAGGGTTAAAATAATATATGAATATTTGACGTGCTACATACAAATTACGGAACTATGGATTATTCCAATGATATATAGTTGTAAAGAAAAAAGAAAGAACAAAGAAAAAAAAAAGCAAAAATTTAAAATACGTTAATTCCTTCTAATTAAAATCTTCATCTATTTCTTACTATGACATTAAGAAATTATTTTTTTCTCAATAAAACTAGCTCTTTACGATTTGAAATACCTCGTAATCCTCTATAGAAAAATAATCATCAGAATCTCTTATTTTTTTTTCATAATATTTATTTTTACAGCGAATTCTATTATAATCTGTACTGAATAGATCTCCAGAATTATAAACAATAATATCATCGCCAAAATATGGACCACTATTAGTGCCATAATGAATTGCACGATTTGCATTTATTACATCACTAATAATTGCATCTTTAAAATTCTTATTTGTAAAAGAAAAAATAAAACTATCATTAGTTTTACCCGTTCCAGAAGATTTCCATGTTATTGGATTATATCCACCAACAATTTCATCTGCCCCTTTTACTTTAATAAATGTAACAGTATTAGGTTTATCATCACATAATTCATGAAATTTTTTAGGAGTAAATCCATCTCGACTTCCTCTTAACAGTAGTTCAAATTTATATGGTAAGTATAATTCTCTAAGATGAGAAAATTTGCTAATTTCTACTTTATCAATCCATCTTGAAATAAATGAAACAATATTTAGATTAACTATATTCGAATCAATTTTGTTCATTATAATATTTCTAGGAAGTAAAATATTATCGGTTGATACACTGTCAGGATCCATATAAGAATATATTAAGTCTTCATAAAGTTGTTGGTTTAAGAGTTTTTGATATGGTCGAACTTTCTGCGATAATTCTTTAGATGATAAGCTAAAAAATCTAATTAAGGGCAAACAACTTTGTAGAGTATTTTTCACTGTTTTGAAATCATCATCGGACCAGGTTTTAGGATCTGGAATGAGAGTTGGATTTTGTGCAAGACCCCATTTTAATACATGTTCCCATATTTTAATTTCTTTCATTTGTAAATCATCCCTTTTAATAAGTGAAATTAAAGATTTTTCAGAAAGTGAAGTGAAATCAAAAGAGTTAAATATTTTTTCAGGTGTTTGAGCCATTAAGTTTGTACAAAACTCTTGAAGCTCTAATAAATTATTAGATCGTGAACTAATTTGTTGAGTAAACCCAAAATGTTGTTCTATCCAATCCGACTTATTTTCAATTAAATATTTTTGTAAATAATTAACTAGTTCTTGAAGATGAAGGTTATCTGCAGCGGCTAAAACTTTGAGAAAGTCTGAAATGTCAAGTTTATTTAACGAAAGAATGCCACCATAAATATACCTATATAAAAAAGAATTCAAAAAAAAATTCATGAACGTTAAAAATAATATTTATAATCCGTTAATATACTAGGGTGTTTTAAATTTATTAATTGCTTACTCTAAAATAGTTTGAAATATTTCTGGTGAAATTTTTGGTAATTTTATGTGAGCTAATATATTATCGTTGTTCTTTTTATTGGAAGCTAAAATTCGTCGTAAATACGGAGAACGGTAACACAAAATATTCATGTGAGCACGAAATATTTTTACGTTAGGATCTTCACCAACTTCAATTGTAATATCATAATATTCATCATCTTTTAATAATTCAATATAATTCTGACTTAGTAATTCAGAAAAAAGTTTAGTAGACATAATTTCACGTATTTTTTTTTTTTTTAAAAAAAAGAACTGAAAAATTTTTTTTTTAAAATAATATTGATGTACATTATATAATCTGTAGCTAGACAAATAAGTATAAATTTTGTTTCACAATGAAGGTATGTTATAAATAAAATTAATAAGCATAAATAATTAGTAACACGCATTTTCTTTATTAAATTTATAAAATAAATTTCTAGAAAGACGTATTAGAAAATCATACAAGATCATATGATTAGCTATCAAACAACACAGCACAGTAGTTTAAATATACTTTTTAGCTATAATAGGACCCCGAAATACTATATATATACATTAAAATTTTTTACTAATAGCTCTACGTAGGGGTTATTAATAAGGTCAATACGCAAAATTAAACACCTAATCTCAAATAGTTAAAAAAAATGAAAGAATAAGCAAATTAATCCCCTGACTTTATCATCATGCGATTTTTCCATTGTTCAGTTGATCCAACATTATTCGACCAAATAACCATAATACTGGTTTTCTTTAATAGCTTCAAATACATTTTTTTCAACTGATACACTAATTGGTCCAATATGATGAATGATATAGGAATTGAGATGGTGGGTTAAAATGTTGTACCCTTCACTAGTTAAATCCCTAAATACCTGATGTATCTTGCATAATTAGGTACTCTTACTTTTAAAAAAACCTAATAATAATACGCAACTTGATAACATGACCTTGGTTAAAAAATCCATAGATTATACGCAAATCAAAATCTAACCTCGTAAAATATTTCTATGGTGATAACTACGCAATCATGCCCTTACCCTTATGTATATATTTCGGGGTCCTGTTGTTGTCCGAAGCGTTAGAAAGCATGCAATGTCTTGTCTGTCCGTCACGCCAATGAAATTTTAGGATCAGGTGTAACAATTAGTAGTAAGAATAATGTTTTACGTAGCAGCAGAAAATAAGTTATGGCCAATGAAATTTTAGTAGAAACAAAATAACAAAAAAAACTAATTATTAAATATACAGTAAGCTCTGTTCATTTCTAAATCGTATCGGATTGATTGACCGAAAAAATGTATAACCAATCAGATCATAGTTACAATTGAGCACAATTTTTGATTGATCGGATTGGTTATATATCCATAATATCTTATAGGGCAAAAACGTGTAGTTGTGTTGTTTATTATGTTTATTATAAAATCGATCAGGGAAAAACACCAATTTTTGTAGATCAGCATGACTGACCGCTGACCGCATCAGTAACCGATTATTTTAGGGTACAAATTTGCGATCAATCCGGTCCGATCTAGAAGTAAACAGGGCTATAGTTTTTAATTTATTTTTTAAATTATAATAAAATTTTAAATAAAAAATATCATTGGCTTTCTAAAGTGTAAATAAATCGTTGCTTCTAAAAATTTGATAAAATAAAGTGTGATCCTCTAAATCGTAGCTTGAACCCGATTATTTCAGTGTTTGGCAAATGACTTGAAATGAACAAATGACTCAAATGACAATTCATTTGTCATTTGTCATTTGCAACTCAAATGACCTGTCATTTAAGTCATTTGAAAAATATTAAATATTCTGAGAATTCTTATTAATTATTTTATTTATTTTAATTAAGAAAACAAAAATATTAAAACAAAATTGGTTTAATATATATAATCAAAAAAGTTTCAATAGTAGTAAATATTTTTTAATCACGTGATTTGTCATTATTTTTACAGGTTATTATTTGTTAATAATATTATTATAGACAGGAGGAGACTTTTCACGCCGATCCTCTGACCAAAAATTCAGCTAAAGGAATTGTCTATAGAAAACATTTTATCTAGTATCTCAACATATAAAAATTATTAAAAATTCAGACTCTCCGGCGTGAATAGTATAATCTTAATATGGCTGACAACACTCGCGCCAAAACTGCTAAACGAAATAACCAAAAAACACAATTTGACAACCATACCAATTTATCAGACGAAGAAATGGTCGCAGAAACCTACGGCCAAAACCAAAACGTATCTCCAACAGCTCAAACAAAGAAAAAACAAAAAAGAATTGAAAACTCTTCTTTACCTTCGTCCACAACAGACGATAACAACAATATGGAAGTCGACGAAAAAACTACAAACGAACATCCAATTTCCTCGGAAATTGACATCTCATCACGTGATACGAATTCCGTTGTATCAACTACACCAATCATTACAAGCCAAGATGCAATGGACACAGATCAACAGATCAACCATACAAATTCAGTATCAACACAAGGATCTACTAGTTCACAAACTCCTTCCAACGTAAACAATGATGTAACTTCGCAGACATTAGAGCTGTTTAAGGATTATAACTCACGATCAAATACTGAATATATATTATTCTTCATGAGGAA